CCAAGCTATGGTGTTTCGGTAAAGCTGCAGAGAGGAAGTGAGCTTTGAGTGGGTCATGATCAGAGGCACCGACAGGGCATGGTCAAAAGGGACGGGCCAGGCTGTCCCCAGCTGGGGAGGAGACAGGAGATAGAAGTCACAGGAGTCACAGGTGGGACGTGGTGGTGGAGGGCAGAGAAGCCTGGACAGACAAGTTGAAGGCAAATTTTGGCAAGTCTTGAATAAGCACTTACCAGAGTTGAGATTTTCTCTCATGTGCAAAAGCAATGAATTTTGGGCATGATTTAATTTTTAAATAATATTTTATTTGGTTTTGTTTTTTTGAGACAGGGTCTCACTCTGTGGTTCACGCTGGCCTCAAACTCACGGCAAACCTCCTGCCTCAGCCCCTGAGGGCTGAGACTAGAGCTGTGTATCACTATACCTGGTGTGATTTAATTTATTAAAAGAATTTTTTTTTCAGGGCTGGGGATGGAACCCAGAGCCTAACGTACATGAGGCAAGCTCTCTACCACTGAGCTAACTCCCGGGTTCTGAGCTTATTCACAATGTTGATTTGACTTATTTAAAGGTGAAACCCACAGGACTCAAGAACCACTTCCTTCAAGACTTTTGTGTCAGAGATGAGGTACAGGGAGAGTAAGAGCTTTTTCTAAGAAGAACCAAAATGTCCTGACCAGTGATTTAATTCACTTTCTACAATTTCTAAAATTTTAAAACCATATGATTTCTTTTTTGTATATCCTTTTATTGGTACATTTTAGGTGTATAACATAATGACATTCATCATTGGAGATATGCACCTTTACATACTCTCTTGGTTCTTATTTTTCTCCCTTCCTCTACCCTCCCTTCAGTCCCTCCATCCCTATTTACAAAGACTTTGTTTCCATTTTTTCATTTTCTCATATTAATTCCATTCCCTTCTTTCCTTTCTCCTACCCGTCCCACTTCTCCTTCCCCTTTGCCCCTTTTCTTCCTATTTCACATTATCTATTATATGTTTTAATCCTTATTTACACTTTCAGTTTCTCACACTAGAGAAACTATTCGGTATTTACACGTGTGTCCTGTTTATTTCACTTAAGAGTATCGTCTCAATGTGCATCCATTTAGGTATAAATGTCTCAAATTTCTCATTTTTGATGGCTGAGTAGTACTCCATTTTATAAAAAAACCCCACATTTTCTTGATCCAGTCTCCAGTTGATGGGCATTTGGGCTGTTTCCAAATTTTAGCTATTACAAACTGTGCTGCTATGAACGTGGGTGCACATATATCACTGCAGTATGATTCTTTTAATTCTTTGGAAAACCATATGATTTATAAGCCCTCTTTGGGAACAAGTGTATCACAGAATGCAGCTTTCTAGTGAGAACAGCAGAGATGTGTGCCAAGGGGCATGAAGAACTTGGGAGGTGCATGGACTTCAGCTGCATACTGCAAACACAAGCACCAAAATAATGGCTATGTTGCTCCTACACCAATTTGGACCTGTGACTGAAACAAGGAGCAAGCACGCATATTGGCTGGTAGACAAAGGCAGAGAAAGGACAACTTAAATAGAAGAGAGGAGCAGCATAATCCAGGAGAAGAAAATCAGGTAGTTGGGCACAGTTGCACATACCTCCAGTTCCAGCACTCAAGAGGCTGAGGCAGGAGGATCATCAGGAGTTTGAGGCCAGCCTGAACTACAAAGTAAGATCCTGTCTCCAAAAACAAAAAAACAAATTGGGCAAATACTGAGATTTTAGGCTTAGCCTTAGCCACCTTATGCTTGGGTCTAATTATTGTAATGTGTGTGTGTGTGTTAGTACCAGGGATTGAACAGAGTGCCTTTGCACTGAGCTACATCCCCAGCTCCCCATTTTAAAAAAAATGTTTTTTTTAAAACTTGAGACAAGTTTTCTCTAAGTGGCTAAATTGGCCAGGTTGTGGTTGAACTTGTGGTCCTCCTGCCTCAACACCCTGGAGTGCTGGGAATACAGACATACTCCAGGTTTACTGTGATTTTTTAAAACACAAAATGTTTAATTACAAGAAAATATGGAATTGGAGGTTGTGAATGTGAAAGGATTACTTCTAGGTCCTTTAAGGTCATCTGAGGTTAAGGGGACTGGCTCACAAGAAAAGAACAAGAGTGAGAAAAGGAAAAGGCGAGCTGTGTCTTTAAAGAAGATGCTAAAACTAGTGAGGGAATGGACAGGCTGGAAAAAAGTCTCAACACAACACCACTGCAACAGCGCTCATAATCAGGGAGAAAGCCAGACCCCAAGTGTCCATCTATTTTACAGGGGCCATTAATCTAGATTCTAGATTAGACTGGAAACGAGTCCAGAAAACAAATCGGAGGCAGTTAAATCCAAGTAAAGGTGAGACAAGTGCTCAAAGTAGGAGCAAAGACTAGGAATCAATTTCAGCCGTTGCAGAGGCAGAAGTCCAAATGGGAGACAGTCAGAAGAGGTTCAAATTGGAAGCCCTAAGTGGAGCCACAACTCAGGGTCCCGATTTACTACTGCCAGACAAAACATGTCAAGGGGTCCCCAGGCTGGGATCCAGATTGTAGGTGGAGGCTGGGGCAGGAGGATTGTGGAGGAGAATGCAGAGGGGAGATTCAGACTAAAACTGTAGAGATGGAACTGCAGCTAGGGTGTGATAGAAGGAAACGGGTCTAATCCTGAGCAAGGTCCATATGAACCCTGAGAGAGGAGCCTGGGAAGAAATTGGCCAGCACAGAGGGCAAACCATGCCCAGGGGAAGAAAGAGGCTGAGCATCTCTGGCCACCACCAGGGGGCATCTCCAGTTCTGGAACAGCTTTGTTGATTACAGGATTTGAAGGAGGACGAAGAGCAGCTTCCAATGGGGCAGAAGTCGTAACCAGCATTCAAACATACTACAGTGACTACAGAGTAGCCAAATGATTCTCGCCTTTCTGCTTCCTGGTATTGTGAACAACCCATTATTACTAGGCTGGAAAGTAGCGGCAATTGAGGGGTCAGGTGAGAAGGTTAAATGATAAGAGATAAAGCGAGGATCGGACAAGACAGATGGAGGAGGGAGGAGGAAGGCAGAGAAAATAGAATGTAATGGGTAGAAACAAATGTGAAGAACAGTTATAATATTTTTTTAAAATAATAAAAACTCTGGAAACAAACTATTTTAGAGGAAAATGAAGACAGAAGGTAGTCCAGAAAACATCTAATTCAGGTTATGTGATGAATTCCAAGGTGGTTTGTCACCCTTTACACATTTCATCTATTAATGGAACATCTACATAGTAGCTGTTATTTACAAGTATGCAAACACACATTTTTTGTTCTTTGGGAGCCTTTAGATGTAAGCTTATTTTCGTCATGGGGTGAGAGCCAGACCAAGGGAGTAGCACTGGATGTAGTATTTTGAGATTAGCTGATTGATAAAAATACTTGACTGTACATTTTAACAACTGTTTTTAAATGCTGCCTTATTAAAATACAACTGGTTATTAAAATTATCAGAACGGGCGGGGGGTAGGGTGGGGGAGAGAACCCAGAGAGCCCATTCCGAAATCTGTCACATGAATTCCTTCCTCAGGCTTCCATCCCTTGGATTTTACACCGCTGAGGGGCAGGCCCTCTGACTTAACCACGGTCACTTACTTGGCGGTTGTGCTTGTCACTCAGTAAGGACCTGATTAACTATGAGGAGCGTCAGGGGCGGTGTTTCCCATCTGAGAGGTGGACTCAACCAAGGCCTCAGGACGAGCAGAATGCAGTACTAAATGCCTAAGCGCGGTGACCAGTACCCAAATCTGGGCAAGTCAATGCAGTTTTTCCAAACTTCTAGGCTGTTTTTGAGGTGATTTCCCCCTTCCGGTTTACCACAATTCCAGAGTCCCACACAGCAGTTAACATTTCTAAAGCACTCGCCTCGACACCCTCCTCCGGGAGCACATTCCCTCAGCCTGGGCGTGCAGGTCTCCACCCCCAGATTCTCGAGCGCCTCTTCCCATCCCCCAGCCTCCCAGCCACAATGTGTGCTCTCGTACAGGCAGCTTTGCTGAGCGAGGGAAGTCGCAGGCTCGGAGCCCGTCTCCTCCGGGGCGGTCACCGTGTCCACTCCCTGGGGTGTGTGTGTGGGGGGGGTCGCTCTTCCCGCTTGGCCGCTGATTGGTTCCTCCCCCTACCCCACCCTTCCCGCCGCCCTCCAGCCTCCAGCCCACAAAGTTCCAGCCTAACCAGCCCCGCCACCTTCTCCCCTCCGAGACCCGAGCCACGGCTGGGCTCCTCGAAGCCCCGGGCTGGGATGGAATAGAAGCGCCAAAAAGCAGGTGGAAACCACCTCGATTCCCTAGGCCTCCGGTTTCCACGGTGGACAGCCCACTGGCCCTCGCGCACTACCCTCCTTTAACTCCCACACGTGCACGTTTCTGCATCTAGCCATTCCGAAAGCACCACCCAGCGGGCCCTTTAAAAGGACGCGACCACTCAGGCCAAGTGGGGGGTGGGCGAGACCCTTGTCGTCCTCCCTCAGGAAAGTCGCTAAACTCCGCAGTCCTAGACGTCCGGGCCGCGGAGTGCACCTCGCCGCCGTCGTGGAGGGTGCGCCCGGCTCCCCCGGGGAGGGCCTCGTCCTCGCGCACGGGGACTCCGTTCCCGCTCCCCTCCCCCTCCTCCCGGTGCAGCTGTCCGGGCTGGGGCTGGGGCTGGGGCGTGGGGGCGGGGTTGTTGTGGTGAGGCGCGGCCCCGCCCCTCCTCGTGGGCGGCCCCTCCCCCAGGCCCTCGGTGCGGCCCCTCCCCCGCCCCCAGCCCCATCTGTTTTCCCCGGCGGTGACTGGATTATATTGTATGGGACTGGGGGCGGCCGCAGTGGCCGCCGCGGGATGGGGCGAGCGCGCGGACCCCGCCGGCAGCCGGAGCCGCCTCAGTGACTCGGTCCGCGCCGCCGCCCCAGCCCGGCCGCGCCGCGGCAGCTCACGCTCACGCCGAGCAGCGGCCGCCGCCCCCGCGCGAGGAGCGAGGCGCTGAGGCGCGGCACCGCGGCGGGAGTCCGAGGCGAGCGGGCCAAGCGCGAGCAGCGAGATGTGCCCGGAGGAGGGCGGCGCGGCCGGGCTGGGCGAGCTCCGCTCTTGGTGGGAAGTCCCGGCCATCGCGCACTTCTGCTCGCTCTTCCGCACCGCGTTCCGCCTGCCGGACTTTGAGATCGAGGTGAGTGGCCGCCGCGCGCGCGCGAGGCGCTCGGTCCCCTCGGTCCGTCCGGGACGTCGTACGGGAGGGAGCGGGGCGCGAGAGACTTCGCCCGGATTCGGGACCCGGAGGAGGACGGCCGGGCGGGGGGCCGCCGCGCTCCGCTCGGGACGCTTGCCTGAGTGGCCGCGGTGCCCACGCGCGGTCCGAGGAGGCGGCGGGCGGGCGGCGAGAGGCAGAGGGCGCGTCCGCTTTTGTCGGAGTGGGACCGGGCCAGCTCTCCCGGGACTTGGGAGGGCCGAGCGGGGCGAGAGTGCGTGCACGCGCTCCCCGCCGGTGCCATTGAAGCGGCGCCAGCTGCTCCGGGCGGGGACGGGTGCGGGCGCGGGCGCACGCGCGGGCGCACGCGCGGGGGGCGCGGCGGAGGAGCTTGGGCTGGTCGGCGGGGGCGGCGGCGGAGGGCGCTGGGAAGTAGCTCGCCCCCGCTCGGCCGGGCGCGCGGAGGGGGAGCCGCACTTTGCCAACTCTCGGGGGCGCTTTGCGCGAACTTCAGGCGGCGAGGAGCCCCCGCGCGGGGCTCGGAGGCAAACTTTGGAACTCCCGTTATCCTTCAGCAGCCCCTCTGCTCCCGGAGTAAACAACCTTCTTTTATCGGGGAGGTGCGGAGCTTTTGGAGTTGGTTTCGCCACCATTATCTCTCCAGGAGACCTTGGAGGGAAGGGATGGCTTTTCTGGCCAGGCTGAAGTTGCTTTCAGACCCGAGGCTTTGTGATAACTGGGCTGAAATCGGAGGGTCCCAGGGGCAGGGACGTGGCGGGAGTGCGAGGGGTGGAATGTACCCGACTGCCTGAAGGAGCCACCAGCGCCAGCAGCATCCTCCCTTCTTTTATTTTTATTTTTGGAAGGGGTGTGCAATATTTGATTGGTTGGCAGGTTGAATTGCTTTCTTTCCTTTGGCAGTCTGTGTGGTGACTTAACCACCTTTTGCCCTGGGACAAAGGTACATGGAACAAACTTGGGTCAGTTTTTGTTTTCAGTTGGATCGATGAAGTAATCAAAATTAGAATTACTCTTTTGTAGGAGCTAATCGTTGTGGGGCGCCCCTCCCCGTCTTACTTTCTTAACCTTTTTCGGATTTTAATTCGTGTACTCGTGAGGTCTTTGGCTCAGCTTTATTTTTAGATCCAGTCGTGATTACTGGATTATCATTTGTTTCTCGTATGAATGAAGTGTGAGAAGTTGCTCTCCTGGCAGAGTTAATGAAATCGGGAAAATAAAAAAAGATCAAAAGGGCTAGGATGGGAGGATGAAGAGGAATGTAGACTGATAAACGAGGGCCACTCACTGGCTTTTGGCGATTTTTAGTTCCATAAGCTGATTAAAACAATGTGATTAAGTTGTAGGCGTCTCCAGGTTTTAAAAAAATGTCATTTAGACATTTTACGCAGCGTCACAGCTGCGTTTTCAAAGTTTCAACGTGGATGTAACGAGTATGCTTTTTATAATAAAATTGTTTGGTGGGACAGCTTGTTTTATTGACTAAAGAGACGAAACAGGGCTACAGATATTAAAGATATGGGAATTGAAAAAGGCAAGAGATGCTTGACAATTATCTGATGTCCCTAGTTTCCATTTAGCTGGTAGACAGTCTTGAGTAGTCTTTGATTAAGTCCTGCTGCTCAAAATGGTGGCCATTGTGGGAGGTGTTGCTTGTGAGAAGGCTCTCTTTGGTCCTGTTAAACTTGCCCCCTACCTCTTTCTTTCCGTGCAGGAAAAAGTTGAGGTGATGCTGAATTGCAAGCTTATAGTTTAAGAACCCATTCTAAAAATACTCCAGAAAAAAACTGCATCTTCCCAAATCCATGAATTCCCACTTTGTGGGTGGAAAAGTAGAGGCAACTCATTTTGGCTCACAGTGTATTTGGAGTGACCTGTAAATAACATGTCCTCTGTCCAAAGAAGTAAATTTATGGTTTCCACTAATTGGTTTAATTCCTAAAAGATATATAATGTGATTAAAGAGGTCAGATTGATAAGTGTAACAAATGAAAAATTGTCCTTTACATGATGAATAATCAGGGCTACTTGAAATGGCCTTCTCTTTATTCTAGAGTTTCTTGAAAGTGTTGCCTTTTTCAGTTAAAATGTACGCTATTTGACAACCAGGAGACATAAATTAGTACTGTATTTGGATTGCAATATGTGCACGCTTTAAGAACTATCCCCACTTTTTTCCCTTTGGAGATGTAACAATTGATAGTGGCTTTTTTCCAATTCAATTCTTGAATAATCCGTCTCATATTAGGTGTTCATTATATTCATCGGCTGATGCAAAATTTAACTTAAAGTTTTCAGTAGTTATCAAAACAAAGAAAAACCCCCAAAAACCAGAGGGCACAGGCGGGAGTACAGGTTTCAGCTAGCTTGGGCAGTTTAGTGACACTATATCCTAAGAGTCTGGAGATGTACCTCAGTGCTTCCTGGTTCAATCCTCATTACTAGAAAAAGAAACAAAAACCTAAATTTATTTTCTAGTTTAACAAATTGCACTCATTAACAGTGCAGAATTCCCTGAAGCCACTGTTAGTACACGTAAATTAATTATTTTAGGTGATTTTTTAAAAGCGGTTTATTGTCTTGATAGTTTGAGAAACAATCTCTTGGTTGGACTTTATGATGCGGTGAAAGACTGGTATGAAAAATGGAAAAACACTAGGATCCTGAGTTGTACCTGTCAGGCCATCCAATACCAAATGATAGAAGTTAGAGAGCAGGTTTGTGGGGTTATTTGTTTGTTTTTTTAGTTTTTAAATGTGAGAAATCTCATTTTACCCTTGGCTACCAGACAGAATGCATGGGTTGATAGAAAATTGAGGAAGCTCTGAAGTGAAGCAGTCTCAGATGAAGGAGGAGCTGGAAGGGAGGATTCATGCTGCAATTCTGCAGGAGGTCAAGACCCCCCACTTAGAGAACTGGTCCACAGAGAAAGGATAGTTGTGTGTGTGTGTGTGTGTGTTTGTGTGACTGTCTCACTGTGTAGTTCAGGCTGGCCTTGAACTTACAATGTGCCCCAGGCAGGCTGTCATCAAACGCCACAGTGCAATTCTCTTGCCTCAGTCTCCCAGAGTGCTGGGATTACAGGCATGCACCACCATGCCCAGCTAGAGGATAGTTTTATTTTTGGATATACAAAAATTTTTAAGGGGCCAGGGATTTAGCTCAGTGGTTCCGCCACCTGCCTCACAAGCACAAGGTCCCAAGTTCAATCCCCGGTACCAAAAAAAAATTTTTTCTACTTAATCAACCTTGAATGTACAGAATTTTATTAGAAAAGTCAAGCTAGGGCCAGGGATGTATTATTCAGCTGGTTCTGCTGTCTGCTTCACAAGCACAAGGACTTACTTGAGTTTGATCCCTGGTATCAACCCCAAAAAGAACAACAAAAAAAGAAAAGTCAACCTACTTGACTTTGGGTTTTAGGATAAATTAAAGGACCTGTATGTTGCTTCCCTTCTTCCCAAATAGGGAGTTATGTAGTCATTGAACCTGTGAGTATACAATAATAATGCTTTTAAGTTGTTCAGAATTGCTCGTTTTAAAAGTAACACGTAAACATTATATAAAACTTAAATTATAGCGAAGTACAGACAAAAGATTAAAATCACTCAGGGATAAAACTGTGAACTGTTAACATTGTATCCTGCCACCAGGAGAAGAAAGCTATTAACTGTTAACATATTTAGAAATTGGGTACTAAATATGTTCACGGTGTATTTGTGCCATAAATTAGGTGGTGGTATTTTTCTTTCTTTTTTCTTTTTTTTTGGGTACTGGGGATCGAGCTTGGGACCTTGCGCTTTCGAGGCAGGCCCCGGCCCCGGAACCACTGAGCTAAATCCCCGGCTTAAATGGTGGTATTTTTCTGAGGTATAGCTGGACAGTTAGAGATTAATGACATTGAATTCAGTAGTTGGCATCATTGAGCACCTACTGTGCACTCATGTGAACTGGGGGATTTACCAGAGAAGCTCATAACTGGTCAACTTTGTGTCAGAAGATTAGCTTGATATTTCAGAACCAGAAGTTGTGTACGCCTTCATTTAAATCAATTATTTAATAATTTTTGAACATTCTGGAGGGTTAGGTTGGCTAAGTTTGGTCCTGATTCAATAAACAAAGAAAATCTCATGAGATTTAGTCCTGTTTTTTCCCTAGCCATAGCCATGTGCTCCCTTTCTCTTTTCTCAGTACTGGGGATTGAACTCAGGGCCTTGCATTGATCTGTATCCTCAGCACTTTTTTTGTTTTTGTTTTGAGACAGGATCTTGCTAAATTGCCCAGGTTGGGTTGGCATTAGAGATGCTCCTACCTCAGCCTGCCAGAGTACTGGGATTACAGGCCGATGCTGCCTGGCTGCCATGTGCTCTTTACAGTGAATGTAGTATCTTGCTTGACTAAGGTGAGGTGAGGGAGGATATGATTTTCTGTTACTCTGGTTGGAAGTTAAATCATGGTTGCAGGGCTGGCCTAGTGCCTCAAGGTAGCAGGAAATGTTCGGTGGAATTATTTGCATGGTTTGTATAATAGCAGTGTAGTCAAGATAATCTAACTGTCCTGTCTTCAGTCAGATATTTTCCTGAGCGTCCTGCCTTTTATATCTAATTGTTTACCATCTTTGTATCACCCTCCATGTTGTGGTTGAATGTGGCCAATGGGGCAGTATAGTCTTTGATCTACTCTTCATGTTTCCTTGGATTAACCCTTTAATCAAGAGCACAGGCTAAAATCAGTAATAAAAATTGCTAAGAGGAACTTGGAAATACTGTATGTCTACCATATCACCTAAACTTGGTGCCAGGGGATGAGTGATAAGGAGACTTTGGGTTGGTGCCCATATGCTTTTTACTGAAGGGGAGGGCCTGATGCCCTTCATCATGTTCTGAAAGAGGTCCTGGACCGTACCAAGGTTAAGAGGCCACAACTGACAGGAAAGAGTAAGTGGGTCCTGATAGTGGGATCAG